CTGTTTCAACGTCAGTCGCCAATTCTGTCTGTTTAAATTAGTTAGTCTTTCCTCTTGTGTCGAGTGCGGCACATAGGGCAGAGGTCGTGACTCTCCATGCACGGCGGTCCGTTGCAATCCGTTGTAGGTCTTGGATGTTTGAGTGGCCCATGAGCGAGCCTTCCCTGATGATAGTTCTACGTAGGGTTTCCCTTGGTCTTCCACGAGATCTTTTCCCCTGTGGTGTCCAAATGAGGGCTTGGTAAGGAAGTCTTGATTTATCCATTCTAAGGACGTGGCCGACATAGTTCCAGCGGCGTTTTCGTATAAAATTAGACACATACTCTTGCCTGGATTCTTGCCTTATTTGTGTATTGGTTCGGAAATCTGACCATTTGAAATTTAGTATTCTTCTAAGGCATTTATTTTCAAAACTGTCTAATTTTGTGTCTAGAGTTTTCGTTGATTTCCAACTCTCGCATCCATAGGTTAGTACTGGAATCACAGAAGAATTGAAGATCTTGAGTTTTGTGTGTTTGCTAAGTGTCTTTGATTTCCAGATGTTAGACAGTTTATTGAAGGCACTAGATGCCAGTGCTATTCTAAATGATATTTCTGGTGCGGTATCTCCTGTAGATGACATCTTGCTCCCTAGATAAGTGAAACTGTTGACTTTTTCAAGGCTGTTGTTGTTCAGCGTGATATCAACTGAACTGTTGGTAAGGTCTAGAATTTTTGTTTTTGCGGTGTTAATTTGGAGTCCAATTTGTTCTGAGAAATTCTGGAGTCGATTGATTTTTTCTTGGGCGTCTGTGTGTTCTGAACTCAGGAGTGCTATGTCGTCAGCGAAGTCTAGGTCTTCCAGAATTTTGTCAACCCATGTAATGCCTAAATTTGCGTTATTTATGCACTTGCGCATGACCCAGTCGATTGCTATACCAAAAAGCATCGGCGATAGGACACAGCCTTGCTTCACTCCTGTTTCCACCGGGAACCAGTCAGAATTGCCGGAATCGGTTTAAATGACAGTTCCTAATTTTGTTTCAATGTCTGTCCCCAGTTTTGTTTCAATGTCAGTCTCCATTTCTGTTCCAATGTCTGTCTCCAGTTCTGTTCCAATGTCTGTCTCCAGTTGTGTTCAAATTTCTGTCTCCAGTTCTGTTCCAATGTCTGTCTCCAGTTCTGTTTCAATGTCTGTCTCCAGTTCTGTTCCAATGTCTGTCTCCAGTTCTGTTCCAATGTCTGTCTCTAGTTCTGTTCCAATGTCAGTCTCCAGTTCTGTTTTAATGTCAGTCTCCATTTCTATTCCAATGCCTGTCCCCAGTTCTGTCCAAACATGTTACAATTCAACCGTTAAGTAGACTGCACTCTAAACCTTATAGTCTAATCTGATGATAACATGCAATTGTATTGTCATTGCTTGCGTTATCTTACTACTGACAGCAAAATGATTCATGTCAACATTGAGTATGCAACTCTTACAGAATGGTGCAGCGGTACCGACTGCTGCCTACCAACCACACGTTCACGCAGGTTGAGATAGTGAAGGTTCACAAAACATGCCATTCCGTCATTACACTTATAGTTTTACTTTCTCTGTCAGACACAGACGAAATTAGTACAATGTGTCAGAGATAACATGACTTTTCTGGCAATTACCAGTTGGTTTATGTCGCGACAAGAGCACAGTAACAATATCAGGGACTTTTACAACGTGGGAGACTAACAATATCGGGAAATGTAACAAAGTGGGAGACTGTAACAATATGGGAGACTGTAACAACGTAGGAGACTGTAACAATATCTGAGACTGTAACAACATCGGGGACTGTAAAAACGAGGGAGACTGTAACAATATCAGGGACTGTAACAACGTGGGGAACTGTAACAATACCTGGGACTTTAACAACATCAGGACTGTAACAACGAAGGGGACTGTAACAATATCGGAGACTGAAACAGCGTGGGAGACTGTAACAACATCGGGGACTGTAACAAAGTGGGAGACTGTAACAATATCAGGGACTGTAACAACGTGGGGAACTGTAACTATACCTGGGACTTTAACAACATCAGGACTGTAACAACGAAGGGGACTGTAACAACATCAGGACTGTAACAACGAAGGGGGCTGTAACAATATCGGAGACTGAAACAGCGTGGGAGACTGTAACAACATCAGGACTGTAACAACGAAGGGGACTGTAACAATATCGGAGACTGAAACAGCGTGGGAGACTGTAACAACATCAGGACTGTAACAACGAAGGGGGCTGTAACAATATCGGAGACTGAAACAGCGTGGGAGACTGTAACAACGTTGGGTACTGTAACGAAAATCGGGAACTGTAACTAAGTGGGAGACTGTAACAACATCAGGGACTGTAAAAAAGTAGGAGTTTGTAAAAACAACAGGGATTGTAACAACTTGGGAGACTGTAACAATATGGGAGACTGTAACGACGAGGGAGACAGTAACAACATCGGGGACTGTAACAACGTTAGGGATTGTAACAACATCGGGGACTGTAACAACGTAGGAGACTGTAACGATATCGGGGACCGCAATAACGTGGGGGACTGTCACAACATCAAGGACTGTAACAACATGGGAGACTGTACCAATATGGGGGACTGTAACAACATAGGGGACTGTCACAATATCGGAGACTGTAACAACGTGAGAGACTGTAACAATATCAGGGACTGTAACAAGGCGGAGACTGTAACAATGCGGAGACCGTAACAATATCAGGGACTGTAACAACATGGAAGACTAAAAACATCAGGGACTGTAACAAAGTGGGAGACTGTAACAACATCAGGGATTGTAACAACGTGGGGAGACTGTACCAGAATCGGGGTCTGTAACAACTTGGAGAGACTGTAACAACATCAGGGACTATAACAACGTGGAGAGACTGTAACAACATCAGGGACTGTAACGAAGTGGGAGACATTAACAATATCAGGGAGTGTAACAACGTGGATAAACTGTAACAACATCAGGGATTGTAACACCGTGGGGAGACTGTAACAACATCAGGGACTGTAACAAAGTAAGAGACTGTAACAATATCAGGGACGGTAACAACGTGAAGAAAATGTAACAACATTAGGGACTGTACAAACTTAGGGAGACTGTAACAACATCAGGGACTGTAACGAAGTGGGAGACATTAACAATATCAGGGAGTGTAACAACGTGGATAAACTGTAACAACATCAGGGACTGTAACACCGTGGGGAGACTGTAATAACATCAGGGACTGTAACAAAGTGGGAGACTGTAACAAAATCAGGGACGGTAACAACGTGGAGAAACTGTAACAACATTAGGGACTGTACAAACGTAGGGAGACTGTAACAACATCAGGGACTTGATCAACGTGGCAGACTATAACAATATCAGGGACTGTAACAACGTGGATGACTGTAACAGTATCGGGACTGTAACAATACCGGGGATTGTAACAATATCGGGGACTGCAACAAAGTGGGAGACTGTAACAACGTTGGAGACTGTAACAACATCGGGGACTGTAACCACGTTGGCGACTGTAACAACGTTGGAGACTGTAACAAAATCTGGAACTGGAACAACGTGGGAGACTGTAACAATGTGGGAAACTGTAACAACATCGGGGACTGTAACAATATCGGGGACAGTAACAACATCATTGACTGTAACAAAGTGGAAGACTAACAACGTTGGAGACTGTAACAACATCGGGGAATGTAACAACTTTGGAGCCTGTAATAATGTTTGAGATTGTAACAACATCGGGGACTGTAACAACGTAAGAGACTGCAACAACGTGGGAGACTGTAACAACGTTGGAGACTGTAACAACATCAGGGACTGTAACAACGTGGGAGACTGTAACAAAGTGGGAGACTGTAACAACATCATGAACTGTAACAATATCGGGGACTGTAACAACGTGGGAGACTGTAACAACGTGGGAGACTGTAACAACATCGGGGACTGTAACAACATTAGGGACCGTAACAACATCAGGGACTGTAACAACGTGGGAGACTGTAACAACAAGGTGAATGTAACTTGGGGCACCCAACATATTGTGGGCTGTACAATGTGGTCTATAAGGTGGGTCTGTAACATGGAGACTGTAACATGAGCATTGTGACAAATTGACTGAGGACTGTGACATGTAGTGGACTGTAACATGTGGACTGTAACATGTGGACTGTAACATGTGGACTGTGACATGTGGACTGTAACATGAGGACTGTAACTTGGTGACATGTGGACGATAACATAGGGATTGTAGCTTGAGGACTGTTACATGTAGTGGTCTGTAATATGGGGACTGTAACTGGGGCACTGTTACATGTGGACTGTAACATGAGGACTGTAACATGTGGACTGTAACATGGGGACTGTAACTTGGGCACTGTGACAAGTGGACTGTAATATGGGGACTGTAACTTGGGCACTGTGACATGTGGACTGTAATATGGGGACTGTAACTTGGAACTATGACATTTGGAATGTAACATGTGGATTGTAACACGTGGACTGTAACATATAGACTTTAACATGGGTGCTGTAAGACTAACGATTGGAGTGTAAAATTTATACCATCACATGTGGTCTGTAACATGTAAACCTGTCTAACTGTCAAGCCATTTACATTGTTTACCCATACTACATTCTCTGTCAAAACATGCCAGATTGTCTTACTGTCATACTATACTTTAGTTTGTAACTGTCTAACTAAGCTAGGTTGTATAGTTGTCAAATCATACTGTAATGTCTAACTTTCAAACCATGGTATATTGTCCAAATGTGAAGCCATGTTACATTGCCTGACACACCAGACTATATGATCTCCCATACAATGTGCAACTATCAAACCATGCTATATTGTTTAACTGTAAAACCATGCTACATTGTCTAACTGCCAAACGATGGTATTTCGTCCAAATGTGAAGCCATGTTACTTTGTCTGAGACACCAGACTATATGGTCTCTTATACAACGTTTCATTGTTCAGACTACAGAGACCACGTCTGTGCTCGGCCCTGCGAGAACTACACCACAGCCAGGCTCTGCCACTACGACTTTCTGCTGGAGAACTATTACGTGCTGTCCAAGGCGTGCTACAACTGTCCTTACAACCAGTCAGACTGTCTCAGGCCTCAGTGTGTCTCTGCCGGTGGTTTGGCTCGCATCATCAAGACGGTCAACCGAATACTTCCTGGACCCGCCATACAAGTAATTACCCTTAGCGTGACTTGTTTATCCCAAGCAATGGTCAATGTATGTTGTTTATGTTTCTTTGTTTACTCCGAGCACTGACCATTCTATTTTAGCTCTATGCCTTGTTTACCCGGAACACTGACCACTCTATATCAGCTCTGCGTCTTGTTTGCTCCGAGCAATAACCACTCTATGTTATCTTTGTCCTTGTTTATCCCGAGCACTGACCACTTTTATGTCAGTTCTGTCCATGATTACCCCCAGCACTGACTAGTCAACGCTAACTCTATGCCTTGTTTACCGTAACCACTCTATGCTAACTCTATGACTTGTTTACCGTAACCACTCTACGCTAACTCTATGACTTGTTTACCGTAACCACTCTATGTTAACTCTATGTCTTGATTACCATAACCACTCTTTGCTAACTCTATGTCTTGTTTACCGTAACCACTCTATGTTAACTCTAGGTCTTGTTTACCGTAACCACTCTATGTTAACTCTAGGTCTTGTTTACCGAAACCACTCTATGATAACTCTATGCCTTGTTTACCGTAACCACTCTATGCTAACTATGTGCCTGGTTTACCGTAACCACTCTATGCTAACTCTATGCCTTGTTTACCGTAACCACTCTATGCTAACTCTATGCCTTGTTTACCGTAACCACTCTATACTAACTCTATGCCTGGTTTACCGTAACCACTCTATGTTAACTCTAGGTCTTGTTTACCGAAACCACTCTATGCTAACTCTATGCCTTGTTTACCGTAACCACTCTATGCTAACTCTATGCCTCGTTTACCGTAACCACTCCATGCTAACTCTATGCCTTGTTTACTGTAACCACTCTATGTTAACTCTATGCCTTGTTTACCGTAACCACTCTTCGCTAACTCTATGACTTGTTTACCGTAACCACTCTATGCTAACTCTATGCCTTGTTTACCGTAACCACTCTATACTAACTCTATGCCTGGTTTACCGTAACCACTCTATGTTAACTCTATGCCTTGTTTACCGTAACCACTCTTTGCTATCTCAATGCCTTGTTTACCGTAACCACTCTATGTTAACTCTAGGTCTTGTTTACCGAAACCACTCTATGCTAACTCTGTGCCTTGTTTACCGTAACCACTCTATGCTAACTCTATGCCTCGTTTACCGTAACCACTCCATGCTAACTTTATGCCTTGTTTACTGTAACCACTCTATGTTAACTCTATGCCTTGTTTACCGTAACCACTCTTCGCTAACTCTATGACTTGTTTACCGTAACCACTCTATGCTAACTCTATGCCTTGATTACCGTAACCACTCTACGCTAACTCTATGCCTTTATTACCGTAACCACTCTATGCTAACTCTATGCCTTGTTTACCCCTAGCAGTTAAAATGGTTCAACCTCTCATTGTTAAGCCGCGACATTAAACTTATGACACGGCCTTTCATTATCAGCCGTTTTTGTTGCTGGCAGTCAGATAAACCTAGTGGCTAGAAGCTCGCATGCCATGGCCAAGCTTTTTGGTTCGAATCTGCACCAACCTGATGTTACAAAATAACCTCTTTATTGGGTTTACCCTGCTTAAAGTGTGTACGAGAAAAATGTAGGGAGTGTAAAGGTGACCGACATGATGTTCACCACACTAGGTGCCAAATGTTTTTGTTGAAATATAAGCGTAACCGACGCCATCAACTGCAAGAGGAGCGGCGTGAAATAAATCTGTGAAACGCTTCTATTGGTGGCGAGCTGACAGTTTCAGACATCTTTTGGATGTGCACAACAGTGCCCTGAAACCGGTACCGTTGTTTCAGTTCTAAGGATCACTAAAGTGTTCGTGAGCCGGAGTTGATCGTCATTAAAACTATCAGTTCTAACGATCACTAAAGTGTCCGTGACACGGAGTTGATGGTCATTAAATCCTTCAGTTCAAAGGATCACTAAAGTGTCCGTGAGACGGAGTTGATGTTCATTAAATCCTTCAGTTCTAAGTGTCACTAAAGTGTCCGTGAGATGGAGGTGATGGAAATTAAATCTAGCCACTCTAGCGACAGAGTATGTAAGTCAAATAAGTATCGCTGTTTTTAACTTAGGTTACACAAACACCTAGGGGACAGAACTGTCAACACAGATTCATCTACATTCCTTGACCTACGCCCCTTTGCATTCCCGGGCTATTTATTCACCTACTGCATGTGTCTTTTTGTTAAAGTGGCAAAACATCAACGTGGCTGATTTTGGATACATTGGTTAAGTGATGTTGTATATACGTTGTGTTTTGTTTGATTTATGTATGACCTGATGAAGTCTTTGAAGTCGCAAAGTTCTCTTTTAGTTTGTTCTTCTTCTTCTTCACTTCCTCTTTTACCGCTGTGGGTGTCGAGGGAGATATAAGGTTCTGTTTCTAGCTCTTCTGGCTGCCTCGACCATAGGCACATCGTGCTGTTGTAGAGTTTCTCTGATGTTATCCTTCCATCTTGTTCTTGGTATACCCCGTGCTCTACGTCCTTTTCCTCTTTCCATGTATGCTTTGTATGGTATGGTGCCACAAGGCATTCTCTCTAAGTGGGCAAACCATTTCATTTCCTGTTTGTTCACTTTCCATTATATTTTTACACTCGCTAACATACTTTTCGTTCGGTATTATATCTTTCCATGGTAAACATTAAGGAGTTCCCTCCACGTGGATTAGGTCCTCCCATTTACCCACTAGGTCACTTTTTTATTCATACTTCCTTAAGCTCGTTAATTTTGTGAAGGTTATGGGGGTGTAACGGTGTACCTTTGCTCGAAAAACTTTCTGCTTTGTCTTCCATTTACGTTTACATTCTGAGAAAGAGAATGCGTGTGACGTTGGTTGCAACACTCTCGTAAGGGCATTGTGTTAGGCTCAGTCCTGTGTGTTTTTGGAGCGTTGAAAGCGCTGACGTGTTGGAATATACAACAGGCGAGATCAACGTTATAGAGCATTTGGATGAGAGAGCAGGTGTGGCGGTAATTCCTCAGCAGTCACCAGTCAGACGATAACATAGAGGCAGTTGACTGGATGGCAGCTAGGATGTAATAGTCAGTACAGGCTCAGTTGCTCGTGTGAACACATCGAAGTATTGGCAGATAGTGATCGATATTTAGTTGGATTTCCAAGTTCCCTACTAATGCACGGCCATACTTGTGCCTGTGTGTAGAGTATTGTTACTTGCAGTTATGAAAACTGCTGATTTTTTTTTTTTAAACTATTAAACAGATAACTGTTTAAGAAGTTTTGACACAGAGCGCAAGGGTGGTGTATTGAAACTATTGTATTATTGGCCACCACTGACTGAAGCTTATCATTGATTGTGTTGTACAGTAAGAAGAACCCCACAGGGGAGCATGCTCAGCAGGGGTCCAACATCATCAGTAGAAACATCTTTCCTCGACGATTATTTTGGCCCATAACTTCCTATACAATCTAGGAAATTGGGCCCGACCTGGGTCATGAACCTCGACCTTACGCTGCTTTTATCGGACTCTCGGACAGAGACTAGACGATATGCTAACTTTGCAACAGGTGCTGTGAGAATTGGCGTTATATCGTCCCTGCGGTAGCAAATTATATCAGTTGACTACCTTCACGACCAGAGTGACAAGCTTATGGTTGTTTCATCAGACATAAATCTCAGACTTTAGCATTTGGCAGAGAGACACCGGCAGACATTTATCAGCCACTTTGGCATTTGGCAGAGAGACACCGGCAGACATTTATAAGACACGTTGGCATTTGGCAGAGAGACACCGACAGGCTGACATTTATCACACACTTTGGTATTAGGCAGAGAGACACCGGCAAACATTTATCAGACACTTTGGTATTAGGCAGAGAGACACCGGCAAACATTTATCAGACACTTTGGTATTTGGCAGAGAGACACCGGCAGACATTTATCAGACACTTTGACATTTGGCAGAGAGAAACCGGCAGACATTTATCGGACACTTTGGCTTTAAAGAATAAAAACCTGGTTTCCACTAGGGACTTGGACCAGTCTACCGAAGCCTAACCCCTACGTCGTTTCATTGCGTCTAGAACCACCTCGAAGTTCTTTCAGCAGCATCGCCTAGTTGTTTTAGTGACCGTTACGCTCATTTCCTTGCATGCCCAGCTGCTTTAGCAAATTATACCTGGAAGTGGAGACAAGAACTCTTCAGCTTACCTTGGTGGCGAAGATTTTTAATGCGCACTATTTGTCTTTTCTCAGACCGGCCACGAGCTCACCGTACTTTTCGCGCCTACGGTTAGTTGCGTATCCTTCACAAGACGTCGCAGTGTGGTTTTTTTTTTTTGTGTGTGGCAAATTTACGTCTAGTAGTTTGCCATTGACTACTGGACGGTCGGCTTTCTTGATACCACTGTCGAAACCAACGCAAGGCGCATGGCCCACAGCTGGGATCGAACCAGGCATCCCGGCATTAAGAAGCGTTCGCATCGACTAAGCCACAGAGCCAACAAACTCAGGTTAGTTGCGTATCCTTTACAGGACGTTGCAGAACCAACCCAAACAGCCCCAACAGCTACTTTTCGAAGCCAGGCAGGTCGACAGCCGTAACCTGTCCTTCGCACAGTCAGGTATTCATGGAGCGTATACGACCTTGTTTATTTTACCTTTAGAAATCTCCCAGCCTTAAGAAAGCGCATGGAGGTGACGGTAGGACTGGCTCTCGCGTTGGCCCTCATCCTGGTTTGGTAAACAATGTCCGCTAACTCTTTCAGGACTTTACTGTGGCCTTAAGTATATCGTCCCTGGCCTAGAGCGTTCCTGAACGTGTACAATACGTGCTCGAGCGTCTGCTTAGCCCTGCACGGTGGGCAAGTCGGGTCGGAAGTCGCATGCCATTTCACCATGTTGACGCCAGAGAGGGCCAATCGACAGATCTCATCCCATGGCAGTATTGGTGGCAAGATGCTCTCCAGGCCGATCCACTGGCCTTGCTGCGACTGCTGGGCGGCTTTTTGGACCAGGATCTCGTTTTATGCGTCCTTTATCTGCTGTATGGTCCAGTTGCAAGATTTGTCAATATCTGTCTGTGTTGCAAGATTTGCCTATATCTACTAATGTTTCGTTGAAAAATGCGCCTATTGCTATCAATTTTTTCGTTGCAAGATTTGCCTCTATCTATCAATGTTTCGTTGCAAGATTGTCTTATATGTATCAATGTTTCGTTGCAAGATTTGCCTCTATCTATCAATGTTTCGTTGCAAGATTTGCCTTTATCTATAAATGTTTCGTTGCAAGATTTGCCTCTATCTATCAATGTTTCGTTGCAAGATTTGCCTCTATCTATCAATGTTTTGTTGCAAGATTTGCCTCTATCTATCAATGTTTCGTTGCAAGATTTGCCTATATCTACCAATGTGTGCTTGCCCGGTCTTTAGTGTCATATATTGGTAATATAAAATATTAGTAACATTTAATCTGTGACACAAATATTCTGTCTTTGTGAGTCGGGACGTCAAATGTCAATGATTATTTTCCACACCTTCAGGCGTATTCAAGGCTAGACCTATATTTTATAGACCAAACGGCACTTGGTAGGAGATGTGGTCCTCCTTTACTTCCTAGGACGGTTCCTGGTACCCACTCAAGGCTAGACCTATATTTTATAGACCAAACGGAACTTGGTAGGGGATGTGGTCCTCCTTTACTTCCTAGGGAATGTGGTCCTCCTTGACTTCCTAGGGAATGTGGTCATCCTTGACTTCCTAGGGAATGTGGTCCCCCTTGACTTCCTAGGACGGTTCCTGGTACCCACTCAAGGCTAGACCTATATTTTATAGACCAAAAGGAACTTGGTAGGAGATGTGGTCCTCCTTTACTTCCTAGGACGGTTCCTGATACCCACTCAAGGCTCGACCTGGGAGCCAAGGTCATTTTGGAAAACGCACGACTTCCGATCCGCAGATGAGCGTCTAATCGCTAGACCACAACGGCTGCCATTGTGAGTAATGCAGATCCTAATATGCCGTTGATCATGTATCGATTTGTTTCTCGTCTTTTTTCTGTTTTCACAATCAGCTTCACATCATCTGCTGCTCAGTCCTCCCACGCAGCAGTCATTCCAAGATATCTCATTGACTCTTCATATACTCAGTTGGCTACATTTCTGATGATGACCGCAGAGACGATATAGACATGCATCACTAGAATGTATTTGCAGGCCATGTAGTTGGGTTAGCGTCCGAGTCATAGTTGGCTCTATTACATGATCTTCCAAAACTGATCACAGTCTAAAGTTTTGTTTGGTGCCGGGTTCACAAATACGCAGAACAGACACCTATTTGTGGCAGGAAATCATTCTGAAAAAGAAAAGTGAAGCTGGTTTGAAAAAAAAAATTTAAATTGCGAAGAGTTCGTTAACATTTAAGGATACCGCAGTTCAGTCAAATGTATTTGAACAAAAATAAATCAATATGAGTATGTGTGTGTGCGCGCGCGCGTGCGTGCGTGTATGTGTGTGTGTGTCTGTGTGTCAATGTTTGTGTGTCTTTGTATGTGTGTCTGTATGTGTATCTGTGTGTGTATTTATGTGTGTGTGTCTGTGTTTCTGTGTGTCTGTGTACCTGTGTGTGTTTGCCTGTGTGCTTGTGTGTCTGTGTGTCTGCGTACCTGTGTATGTTTGTCTGTATGTATGTGTGCCTGTGTATCTATGTATGTGTGCGTGTATGCGTGTGTGCGTGCGTGCTTGCGTGTATTTATGCGTGCGTGCGTGTGTAATTGTGTGTGTGTGTGTTTGTGTGTAAGAAAATGTGTAAAACCAGAAACGTATTGGAAGACAATATGTAAAAGGTTGTTCGGGATTTCGACTGCTCGGGGCTTCAGGATTTCGACTGCTCGGGGCTTCAAGATTTTGATTGCTCGGGGTTTCAAGATTTCGACTGCTCGGGGCTTCAAGATTGCAACTGCTCGGGGCTTCAAGATTTTGACTGCTAGGGGCCTTAACACAGTTTACTCTGCCACTAGATATAAGATGCTAAGATAGGCATTCAATATAATTCTGTCAGATAAGTAAAGTACTGGGTTGACGTTATTTTGTTGGGATCCACACATGGACTCATCTAGAGGCTATCTATCACTGTTTCTTTAGCGATTACCCTCGGTATTGCACATCTCTCAGTCTGCCACTGACATCTACCAGCCTGTCACTGACAACTTCCAGTTTGTCACTGGCATCACACAGCCTGTTACTGCCATCTTCCGGGCTGTCACTGACATCTGCCAGTTTGTCACTGGCATCACACAGCCTGTTACTGCCATCTCCCAGCCTATCACTGGCATCTCCCAGTCTGTCGCTGATGTCTCCCAGTCTATCACTGAGATTTCCCAGCTTAGCATTGTCATCTCCCAGCCTGTCACTGACATCTCTCAGGCTGTCACTGACATCTTCCAAGCTGTCACTGGCCTCTCCCAAAGTGTAATTGACATCTCTCTACCTGTCACATACATATCCACATAAAAAACCTTACATATCCAGGCGTGTCACTGACGTCTCCCACGTTGTCATTAACATTTCCCAATTTGTCACTGAAATCTCCCAGCCTGGCACTGATATCTCCCAGTTTGTCACCCATTATTAGACTTATACTGTCTCAAGTAGATTAGAAGGAAGACGAAAGAGATGAGGCGCAAAAAGTAGAAGAAGAATTAGATGGCATTAACTCATCTTGCTGTACTGCAGGTGTGTGAAGGTGATACGATTTGCTGTACTGCAGGTGTGTGAAGGTGATAAGATTTGCTGTAATGCAGGTGTGTGAAGGTGATACGATTTGCTGTACTGCAGGTGTGTGAAGGTGATACGATTTGCTGTACTGCAGGTGTGTGAAGGTGATACGATTTGCTTTACTGCAGGTGTGTGAAGGTGATACGATTTGCTGTACTGCAGGTGTGTGAAGGTGATACGAATTGCTGTACTGCAGGTGTGTGAAGGTGATACGATTTGCTGTACTGCAGGTGTGTGAAGGTGATACGATTTGCTGTACTGCAGGTGTGTGAAGGTGATACGATTTGCTGTACTGCAGGTGTATGAAGGTGATACGTTTGCTGTACTGCAGGTGTGTGTAGGTGATACGCTTTGCTCTACTGCAGGTGTGTGAAGGTGACACGATTGAAGTGAAAGTCACCAACATGTTGGAGAGCGGAGAGGGCACCAGCGTCCACTGGCACGGCTTCCTTCAGCACAACACGGCCCACATGGACGGCACGCCCATGGTCACTCAGTGCCCTATCCTGATGGGTTCTCATTTCACATACAGGTGAGGGCTTTTTATCTGTCATCCACATACAGGTGAGTGCTTTTTATCTCTCATCCACATACAGGTGAGTGCTTTTTATCTCTCATCCACATACAGGTGAGTGCTTTTTATCTCTCATCCACACACAGTTGAGTGCTTTTTATCTGTCATCCACATACAGGTGAGTGCTTTTTATCTGTCATCCACATACAGGTGAGTGCTTTTTATCTCTCATCCACATACAGGTGAGTGCTTTTTATCTGTCATCCACATACAGGTGAGTGCTTTTTATCTGTCATCCACATACAGGTGAGTGCTTTTTATCTGTCATCCACATACAGGTGAGTGCTTTTTATCTCTCATCCACATACAGGTGAGTGCTTTTTATCTCTCATCCACATACAGGGGGTTGATTCTTGCCACAAAGGTGACCGGCCTTGAATTCCCCACTGGGTGATTTAATTTTTTTTGTGTGCCCGTAACTGGGCGGTTGGCACGTTGTGTTGTGGTTTACAGTTAGGCAGCGATATCTGCGCTTTCCGCCCAGAGACATCCCTTTTCAATAAAGTCCCAATTATCATCCCCCGCGACGCTTCACTCGATCAAAAATTATTTGAAACAGACACTGTTAACTAAGACGGCTTACATTCAAGCTTAGTTTGGGTCGACACGGATGCCAGGGTCAGTTAAAAATTGTCCCTTCGGAGAGGGAGAGATGACGGGTGCAAGTTTTTATTTCCGCTATTTGTGAGTATTTTGTACTTTTTTTTTAAAATCACGGAATATTACTGTAGGTTATATCACTGGTTTTCATTTCCGCTATTTGTGAGTGGGGGGGGGGGGGGGGGGGGGGAGGGGGGGGGGGGGGTAGATATAGGTATTTACGACCTTAATTGTCCCATCTATCAATCACTTTCATGGTGGATCTCTAGATCTTTGAAAAAAAAAATTTTTATGGTTGTCTCTTCATGTAGTTTAGTATAGAACTGGTACCCTCTTATTTTCTTTCTAATTTTTTCATTTCTCCCTTTCACATGCATGTTGATAGTTGATAGCTGTCTTTTAAGTACATGTCGTAGTTCCCGCCCCGCCGCCTCTCTCCCCCTTATGTACATGTCGTAGTTCCTGCCCCGCCGCCCCTCTCCCCGTTATGTACATGTCGTAGTTCCTGCCCCGCCGCCCCTCTCCCTGTTATGTACATGTCGTAGTTCCTGCCCCGCCGCCCCTCTCCCCGTTATGTACATGTCGTAGTTCCTGCCCCGCCGCCCCTCTCCCCGTTATGTACATGTCGTAGTTCCTGCCCCGCCGCCCCTCTCCCCGTTATGTACTTGTCGTAGTTCCCGCCCCGCCGCCCCTCTCCCCGTTATGTACATGTCGTAGTTCCTGCCCCGCCGCCCCTCTCCCCGTTATGTACATGTCGTAGTTCCTGCCCCGCCGCCCCTCTCCCTGTTATGTACATGTCGTAGTTCCTGCCCCGCCGCCCCTCTCCCTGTTATGTACATGTCGTAGTTCCTGCCCCGCCGCCCCTCTCCCCGTTATGTACATGTCGTAGTTCCTGCCCCGCCGCCCCTCTCCCTGTTATGTACATGTCGTAGTTCCTGCCCCGCCGCCCCTCTCCCCGTTATGTACATGTCGTAGTTCCTGCCCCGCCGCCCCTCTCCCCGTTATGTACATGTCGTAGTTCCTGCCCCGCCGCCCCTCTCCCTGTTATGTACATGTCGTAGTTCCTGCCCCGCCGCCCCTCTCCCCGTTATGTACATGTCGTAGTTCCTGCCCCGCCGCCTCTCTCCCCCTTATGTACATGTCGTAGTTCCTGCCCCGCCGCCCCTCTCCCCGTTATGTACATGTCGTAGTTCCTGCCCCGCCGCCCCTCTCCCTGTTATGTACAGATCGCAGATCCCGCCCCGCCGCCCCTCTTCCCGTATGTACATACAATGCCGATTGTAGGTGACTTTCCCTCACGAACACTTCAGTACCGGTCGGTGTTTACAGCCGCCCTAGCACTGACTGGTGTTGCTCTTGTTGTGTCTGCTAGCACTGACTGATGTTGCTCTTGTTGTGTCTACTAGCACTGACTGATGTTGCTCTTGTTGTGTCTACTAGCACTGACTGATGTTGCTCTTGTTGTGTCTACTAGCACTGACTGGTGTTGCTCTTGTTGTGTCTACTAGCACTGACTGGTGTTGCTCTTGTTGTGTCTACTAGCACTGACTGGTGTTGCTCTTGTTGTGTCTACTAGCACTGACTGGTGTTGCTCTTGTGGTGTCTACTAGCACTGACTGATGTTGCTCTTGTTGTGTCTACTAGCACTGACTGGTGTTGCTCTTGTTGTGTCTACTAGCACTGACTGATGTTGCTCTTGTTGTGTCTACTAGCACTGACTGGTGTTGCTCTTGTGGTGTCTGCTAGCACTGACTGATGTTGCTCTTGTGGTGTCTGCTAGCACTGACTGGTGTTGCTCTTGTTGTGTCTGATAGCACTGACTGGTGTTGCTCCTGTTGTGTCTGCTAGCACTGACTGATGTTGCTCTTGTTGTGTCTGCTAGCACTGACTGATGTTGCCCTTGTTGTGTCTACTAGCACTGACTGATGTTGCTCTTGTTGTGTCTGCTAGCACTGACTGGTGTTGCTCTTGTTGTGTCTGCTAGCACTGACTGATGTTGCTCTTGTTGTGTCTACTAGCACTGACTGATGTTGCTCTTGTTGTGTCTACTAGCACTGACTGGTGTTGCTCTTGTTGTGTCTACTAGCACTGACTGGTGTTGCCCTTGTTGTGTCTGCTAGCACTGACTGGTGTTGCTCTTGTGGTGTCTGCTAGCACTGACTGGTGTTGCTCTTGTGGTGTCTGCTAGCACTGACTGGTGTTGCTCTTGTGGTGTCTGCTAGCACTGACTGGTGTTGCTCTTGTTGTGTCTGCTAGCACTGACTGGTGTTGCTCTTGTTGTGTCTGCTAGAACTGACTGGTGTTGCTCTTGTTGTGTCTGCTAGCACTGACTGGTGTTGCTCTTGTTGTGTCTGCTAGCACTGACTGGTGTTGCTCTTGTTGTGTCTGCTAGAACTGACTGATGTTGCTCCTGTTGTGTCTGCTAGCACTGACTGCTTTTGCTCTTGTTGTGTCTGCTAGCACTGACGGGTGTTGCTCTTGTTGTGTCTGCTAGCACTGACGGGTGTTGTTCTTGTTGTGTCTGCTAGAACTGACTGGTGTTGCTCTTGTTGTGTCTGCTAGAACTGACGGGTGTTGCTCTTGTTGTGTCTGCTAGCACTGACTGGTGTTGCTCTTGTTGTGTCATCTAGAACTGACTGATGTTGCCATTGTTGTGTCTGCTAGAACTGACGGGTGTTGCTCTGCTGTCTGCTAGTTGTTGTCCTCTTGTCTGCTAGCACTGACTGATGTTGCTCTTGTTGTGTCTGCTAGCACTGCGGGTGTTGTGTTGCTCTTGTGGTGTCTGTTAGCTACTGACGGGTGTTGCTCTTGTTGTGTCTGCTAGCACTGACTGGTGTTGCTCTTGTTGTGTCATCTAGAACTGACTGATGTTGCCATTGTTGTGTCTGCTAGAACTGACGGGTGTTGCTCTTGTTGTGTCTGCTAGAACTTACTGGTGTTGCTCCTCTTGTTGTGTCTGCTAGCACTGACTGATGTTGCTCTTGTTGTGTCTGCTAGCACTGACTGGTGTTGCTCTTGTTGTGTCTGCTAGCACTGACTGGTGTTGCTCTTGTTGTGTCTGCTAGCACTGACTGATGTTGCTCTTGTCGTGTCTGCTAGAACTGACTGGTGTTGCTCTTGTTGTGTCTGCTAGCACTGACTGGTGTTGCTCTTGTTGTGTCTGCTAGCACTGACTGGTGTTGCTCTTGTTGTGTCTGCTAGCACTGACTGGTGGTACTCTTGTGGTGTCTGCTAGCACTGACTGGTGTTGCTCTTGTTGTGTCTGCTAGCACTGACTGATGTTGCTCTTGTGGTGTCTGCTAGCACTGACTGATGTTGCTCTTGTTGTGTCTGCTAGCACTGACTGGTGTTGCTCTTGTCCTGTCTGCTAGCACTGACTGGTGTTGCTCTTGTTGTGTCTGCTAGAACTGACTGGTGTTGCTCTGTTGTGTCTGCTAGCACTGACTAATGTTGCTCTTGTTGTGTCTGCTAGCACTGACTTGTGTTGCTCTTGTGGTGTCTGCTAGCACTGACTGGTGTTGCTCTTGTTGTGTCTTCTAGCACTGACTTGTGTTGCTCTTGTGGTGTCTGCTAGCAATGACTGATGTTGCTCTTGTTGTGTCTGCTAGCACTGACTGGTGTTGCTCTTGTCCTGTCTGCTAGCACTGACTGGTGTTGCTCTTGTGGTGTCTGCTAGCACTGACTAATGTTGCTCTTGTTGTGTCTGCTAGCAATGACTGATGTTGCTCTTGTTGTGTCTGCTAGAACTGACTGGTGTTGCTCTTGTGGTGTCTGCTAGCACTGACTGGTGTTGCTCTTGTTGTGTCTGCTAGCACTGACTGGTGTTGCTCTTGTCGTGTCTGCTAGCACTGACTGCTTTTGCTCTTGTGGTGTCTGCTAGCACTGACTGGTGTTGCTCTTGTTGTGTCTGCTAGAACTGACTGGTGTTGCTCTGTTGTGTCTGCTAGCACTGACTAATGTTGCTCTTGTTGTGTCTGCTAGCACTGACTGGTGTTGCTCTTGTCGTGTCTGCTAGCACTGACTGCTTTTGCTCTTGTTGTGTCTGCTAGAACTGACGGGTGTTGCTCTTGTTGTGTCTGCTAGAACTGACTAATGTTGCTCTTTTTGTGTCTGCTAGCACTGACTGCTTTTGCTCTTGTTGTGTCTGCTAGAACTGAATGATGTTGCTCTTGTCCTGTCTGCTAGCACTGACTGATGTTGCTCTTGTTGTGTCTGCTAGTACTGACTAATATTGCTCTTGTTGTGTCTGCTAGCACTGACTGATGTTGCTCTTGTCGTGTCTGCTAGCACTGACTGCTTTTGCTCTTGTTGTGTCTGCTAGAACTGACTGGTGTTGCTCTTGTGGTGTCTGCAGGTTTCAAGCTGTTGACGTGGGCACCTACTTCTGGCACAGCCATGCAGGAACCCAGCGAGCAGACGGTGTCTTCGGCGCCCTCATTGTACGGCAGGCAGCAGATCGTGAACCTCATCGTCATCTCTACGACTACGACCTCCCAGAGCACGTGATGATAGTCAATGACTGGGTGACTGTGGACACGGCTGACCGACTGGCAGAGTTGGTTCACATCCGGGAAAACCTCAATGAAACTATACTTATCAACGGTTTGCTAGATTTCTCTCTTGCACACACACTTATTTAATTCTTTCTTCTCTCTCTCTCTCTCTCTCTCTCTCTCTCTCTCTCTCTCTCTCTCTCTCTCTCTCTCTCTCTCTCTCTCTCTCTCTGAATAATTCCGCCCTCCCCCTGCTCTTTCTTGCTGTTTATCGCTATCTCTGTCAGTGTCTGTCCACCTCTCGATCTCACACAACTTTAATGAGCTAATGTCAGAGGCACCTAGATGGAGGCTTGAGAGGAAGTGTATCTGGTGTAGACAAGAAATCTCGGCTAGAAGCCACACAGACCCTGAAACAATAACACCATGTTCTTTAAATGCAGCTGATCATTTCCCTGGTCAGAACCTCTGACGAGCGATTTGAAGCGGTCGCTAAACAGTACACAGTTGTAGGTCAACTGTTTCTAGTTCTAGGTGAAAGGTAAGCAGTACACAGTTGTGGGTAAAATGTATCTAGTTCTAGGTGAAAGGTAAACAGTACACAATTGTAGGTCAACTGTACCTAGTTTTAGGTGCAAGGTAAACAGTACACAGTTGAAGGTCAACTGTTTCTAGTTGTAGGTGAAATGTAAACAGTACACAGTTGTGGGTAAAATGTATCTAGTTGTAGGTGGAAGGTAAACAGTATACAGTTGTAGGTAAAATGTTTCTCGTTGTAGGTGAAAGGTAAACAGTACGCAGTTGTAGGTCAACTGTATCTAGTTGTAGGGGAAAGGTAAACTGTATACAGTTGTCGGTAAACTGTTTCTCGTTCTAGGTGAAAGGTAAACAGTACACAATTGTGGGTAAAAGGTAAACAGTATGCAGTTGTAGGTATACTGTTTCTAGTTGTAGGTGAGAGGTAAACAGTATATAGTTGTAGGTAAACTGTTTCTAGCTGTAGGTGAAAGGTAAACCGTTTACAGTTGTAGGTCAACTTTTTATAGTTGTAGCTGAAAGGCAAACAGTACACAGTTGTAGGTCAACTGTTTCTAGTTGTAGGTGAAAGGTAAACAGTACACAGTTGTGGGTAAAATGTATCTAGTTGTAGGTAAGAGGTAAACAGTATACAGTTGTAGGTAAACTGTTTCTCGTTGTAGGTGAAAGGTAAACAGTACAAGTTGTAGGCGAAAGGTAAACAGTACACAGTTGTAGGTCAACTGTATCTAGCTAGTTGTAGGTGAAAGGTAAACAGTGAGAATTGCAGATAAACGGTTTAAAGTTGTAGGAAACATTGCAGAACTGTATATAAACGCTGCTGAATTGTAAAGGGTGTGATGTTTTAGGTAAACAGTGATACATTTTAGATACACGGCAAAATGTCGTGGATCAGATGATAGATTTAGTAAAGGATAGATCTACCCAGATGAGACCTGTTTAACCAACAGATATGCCCGTCTCTCTAGCGTAGCTGGCTAAACCGGATTGCGCGGTAAGCGGGTTCACTCCCAGGGGTAGGCAGAAAAGCCACATTTCTCTCAGATTTACGGTATTTACAAGGGAATCAAGGCCGAAAGGTTGCCATATCCATAATACCGAGCCTAAGGGTTAACAACTCATGGCTTCTGGATACTAAAACAAACAAACCAACAGACATGCCTCTCTCCAGGTATGGGACAGTTCCAACAGTTTGTCAACAATGAAACAAATGCTACTGTATTCACACCTCGCGCCAACTTCACGGTAACCCCTGGCTTCCGGTACAGGTTTCGGGTCATCAACTCTGGCGTCTTGAACTGCCCTCTCGAGGTAAGTCAGACGATACACACATACAAACACACACACATTCATACATACACACAAACACACAGAAAGAGAGAGAGAGCGAGAGAGAGATAGAGACAGACAGACAGAGAGAGAGAGAGATTGAATAAACGCACTTTTTTTGCAAAGGCTAAAGCCTTTTGGAGTGCACGTTTGACCTCACATCCTTCATACATGCTTCCACTTGTTTATAATTTAAAATATAGTAGTATACTACTACCACAACTACTAGTCCTACTACTACTACTACTACTACTACTACTACTACTACTACTACTACTACTACTACTACTACTACTAGTCATAATACTACTACTACTACTACTACTACTACTACTACTACTACTACTACTACTACTACTACTACTACTACTACTACTACTACTAGTCCTACTACTACTACTACTACTACTACTACTACTACTACTACTACTACTACTACTACTACTACTACTACTACTACTAGTCCTACTACTACTACTACTACTACTACTACTACTACTACTACTACTACTACTATTACTACTACTACTACTACTACTACTATTACTACTACTACTACTACTATTACTACTACTACTACTATTACTACTACTACTACTACTATTACTACTACTACTACTACTACTACTATTACTACTACTACTACTACTATTACTACTACTACTACTACTACTACTACTACTACTACTACTACTACTACTACTACTACTACTACTACTACTACTACTATTACTACTACTACTACTACTATTACTACTACTACTACTACTAATAAAAATAATAATAA